ATGTCGTCTGGCAGACGCTGGTCGGGCTCTCGGCTCCACTTGGAAAGAAAGGAGTGTTATAGCGAGAGCGCCAAAAGTGTTGGTTTGTGTAGATTGACAGTGGTTGAGATTAGTCATTATGTGCAAAGGATATGTTTAGCAGTGATGGCAGTTTGACACTGAAGCTTCGAACGGAGCTTCAACCCTGGACTTCCTATTCCATAGAAGCAGTGCTTCGAAGCTTGCTTCAAATCACGTGACATGTGACGTCCGAAGCAGCAACTGCTTCAAATCACGTGACATGTGACGTCCGAACCAGCAACTGCTTCATTTCCTGAATGAATCAACTCACTGGTTCGCCGTCCAATCAGGTGATTCAATGCACTGCCTCGTCTCTATTCTGACAGGTGATAGGTTGAAACAGTTTCAAATTTGAGCGCTTCAACACTTTATAACCGCTCAAAACAATGCGCAATGTGTGGGTTGTTGTCGTAGTTTGCGTTGTTGCTGTTGAGTTGTTGTTGGCATTGCATTTGAATTGGATCATTATAGAGCAAGCCAGGAAGAAAGATAGGTCGTTCTGCCTCGGGAAACACTTTGAAATGTGGAGAAGTTGTGAACAAAAAGACAATGAGTAATATAAAAACAGTTCAGTAGTATAAGGAATAGATAGCCCAGTGGATAGAGTCGGCGGCCCGAATGCGGCGATGTCCTCCGCGCAGCTGGTTCAAAACCCGGAATGGATGATCTTCTAATCATTGCTTTTCAACTTTAATAACTGAAAAAAGGCCCTCTCCGCCCAATAAAATGTCCAGCACTCTCTAGTCTCTTTTCAATAACCCAATACACACAATTATCAATCTTTAATTGTAAATAGAAGATGATATTCAGTCTTAGTGTGTGTGTGTGTGCATCGAATATTTTTCAAGGCAAAGATACGTTAAACCCACTGCAGCCTTGCACTTCGCCAGGAGAGGTCGCTGTAACTGAAGCTTCGAGAAATGAACCTATTTCCGACACAATTGTCCAAGTGGTTCGACGCTTCATTCAAAGCTTCATTTTGCCATCACTAATTGTTTCCCTTTTTATACACACACATACCGGTTGTCATACTGTGAGAAAGGCCCCACATCAGCATTTTATATATGTTTTTTTAGCTTGTCTCTAAATGATAAATGCACACTGATGTCTTTGTTAATAAAAAATGCTTAGTGCGTGTGTTTTAACTAACCAGAATGAATTCCCCCATTTGCTTTTGAACCAGAGAGCTGATGTTGTCTTTAGACTTTCAATTTAATTAATACAAGCAGCTGTATGATTGCACTGACCTGTAGTGAGAAGAGCACGACCGTGAAGCAGACCACTGCAGTGATGCCCACGGCCATGATGACCGTCTCTGTGTCATAGAAGCTGGCGATCATGCCCACCATGTAGGAGAGGCTCAGGGTCAGGATGGACTGCAAGGCACAGAACACACACACGGTCACATAAACATCCTGAAGACACACTTTACATGTTGTAGATTCAGGTGAGACTAAGGAAAGGTGATTCCGACACTTCACACAGACAACAGCTCTTTAAAGAAATATTGATACAGCGGGGGTGCAAATGGACCAGTACACATCGCTAACAATTTACTTTGACCATTAGCAAACGTATACATTAAACTGCAATCAGGTGAGACTAAGGAAAGGTGGACCATAAGCAATCAAGAAAACACCTATGCAGGCTCATTATAATAGATACGTTTGGAATAACAAAGACTCACTAATGTAGAACTAGCTTATTTGACTTATTGCTCTCAGGTCTGATTACATTTTTCCTCATTCATATTGCAAACAAACTGTTTATATATCATGTAAGTAGACTTTTTACTGTTAGAAATAGACTTTTTTGTATTATTTGGCATTAGGAGTAGTTCTTACCAGTGCAATCAAGTTCCAGGGGTGCTTGCGGCGGAATTCTCCACAACAGCTGAGGGTGATCAGGGACACGAGAAAGACCACGTAGGACACATAGTATGTCCATGGATTACGTCGCACAAAGACCTTTGCTTCGTCAACAAAGGTGAAGATGGCAACAAAGGAGAAGGTGATCAGCAGCTGCACCGTGAGAACCGCGAAGACCTGGTGGGAGAAAAGATACAAAGCAGGTGAGCTGCAAAACTATTTTTTGGTGGTATTTCATATTAATGTGACTCATATTATATGTTATGTTTACTTCTTTATTAAACCCATCTAATATAGTTCATACGATAAGGGACCTACCTTTCTGATGAAGGCTTGTCGGATGGTTTTGTCCTCAAAACCAGAGTTGGTGAATTCCTCATTGTCGTAGTAATTTGGGGGAACATCACCTTGGTAACCAGGGCTGCCTGCAGGTGCTGCTGAACAACAATCACAGGACGAGAGTTTAACAACGTGCAATAAACAACTGGACATGTGTCTGAGCCGTGTTCACCACACTGTGATTGTAGCATTGATAATCTCATTGATTACCTAGTCATGTGTGTTGAGTCTGATCTAAACTGGATGTAGTTGACCTGGATAACATACACAGTTCTTCTGGCACTCACCGGCCTTTAGTTATTTTCAGTCCTTAGTCAAATGTCTTTGTTGGATTTATCACCCTCATTCTGTTTTACCTTTCTTCTTCTTTTATTTGAATATAGGTTTTAGACTTAAACTAACTGGATCAAATGCATACAATGGTACAAAACATCCATATACATGTTTTATATTTTCAGATTATATTCAACATTTTACTGAATATAGTCCTGCCAAAATGTTGCCTAGACATTCTAGACCCTGTTGTTTTTGTGTATGGAACATGATTAGGGTCAAATGACAGGATGTGCTAATGTGAAGGAGGGGAACGGCTCTATACTTCTATCCTGCTTTGTCATGGTTCATCACCTCTGTAACACATTAAGGTATCTTATAACAAAACATATGGTGGCCTAGAAAGTTTATTCATAATAGTTCAAATCTTTGGTTTCACGACTCACCCATTGGGTCACCGGCAAATCCTGGTTGTGCGGGCCCTTGCTGATAAGGCCCTTGCTGATAAGGCCCCTGGGGGTAGGGTCCCTGTGGGTAGGGCATCTGAGGGTAAGGCATCTGAGGGTAGGGGCCAGGGGCGCAACCCGGGCCTGCCTGGGCGAAGCCTGGCTGGCCGTAGCTCCCTGCTGGTGGGTACGCCCCCCCGGGGGCTTGGCTGTAGTTGGGAGGGGGCATGTCGAACCCTGGCTGAGGGGGTCCGTAGACACTGTTATGAAGTGGGTTGTTCTCACCCATAACTGGGTATCCACTCTTATCCTGGGACATGATGAGGGGGAAGGCTCACTCTGCTACAAGTACAACATAAGAGAAGAAATGAAGCAGAATTAAGATCAGTTTGCTTATACAAAGATACCTTGCCCAAACTACTTAAATATACGGTATGTTGCCCAAATATGAGTCCCAGAAGAGAGCAGAGGAAAGGTTAAGATGGTACACTATCCGAGCCAAACTGGCAGAGACACAGGCACTGCATATCCCTGATTAAAATGTGACTGGCAATCAGGAGATGCTGCAGGGAGGGAACAGAGGTATTGGGAAGAGCCATGCTTTCTGTTGCACAAAAAAACATCGAGGATTGTTAGATGTAGTTTAAAATAAGTTGGTATTATATTTTTTCCTTTTTTGTATCACAACATGACCAAACTTCTGAATCATGTGATTTACATATGAGAGTAAAAGAGAAGAAAAAATAGTGATCTATGAGTTTACGCCGTGTTATTTAACCCAACCGGAGCAAGGTATACTATCAGTCATAAAACAAGCCACAGGTTGAAGAGTCTCTACAAACACCCGAGGACAACTTCTGATGATTGTCATTTTCAATTGCTCCACGGAATATATTCCAAATATCTTTATCAATCATTTGGGTTATAAACTTCTGTGAATGACCCTGGTCTAATTGAAAATGTACACCTGTAATCACAGGCTACATTCATACCTTCATAAAACTGTTGATACTACACAGTGGTTTTAGGATTTAGCCAGACAAAGTGAACAGATGAATGGGGAAAGAGAGAAATTGAGAAGACAGCGAACAGTCACCAGAGAGATAGTGTTACCAACACGCAGGTGGTGTCTTGGTTACCAAATGTATCACTAATCCTGCCTTGACATATTGGCCATTACTGCAGTGTCCCTCCCCCCCCCCCCCCCGCCGGGCCCCTGTACATCCTGGTCAACAGGTTTCTGTGCCAGTTAAAATGGCCTCTATAGTGCTAATGGGGCATCTACATGATGAGGGACAAAGTAGAAAACAGAAATCTCTCTGCAAGTGAGATAAAGTTTTTAAGTGCTTTCAAATGTGTACAGGTTTATATAGAAGTCCTGCAGGAGAGCCTCTGCGGAGCAAGGTGGGAACCAAAAGGCATTCTCCCTTTTCAAAGGGAGTTTCAAATAAATGCTTGAGTCTGCAGCTGACAGACTTTAGAGTGGAGCATAGGTCTGTGGGGTTTAAAGGGGACATATCACAACAAGGGACAAGGCATTGTTGTTGGGTTTTTGCAATTGTATTTTTTTAGGCTTCAATCCTTGTAGTAGAGACAAATCTGAAATATCTACAGCCATATCTAAAACTAACATCAAAACAATATAGATTGATAACTAGCACTACAGTTAAGTAGTGACTGCATTTAGTACAGCTGTGCATATAATGCATGGTTATACAGACATACTCTCAGTCTTTATACTTCCTTTAAAGCACTCTACCAACAATAACAGTCCAGAAATATCCATTCAGTGGCAGATTAGAAAGCAACAAATCCAGCTAACCGTTTTATAGTCCCTCTATCTTCCTCTCTTTCCAGGCCACCCTGTAAGCGTTATGCAACAATGCTCTATTTCTAGCACATGCATCCAGACTTTGGTGCCGTCTTTACCATCTCCGTCTGTCCATCACTGGGACAGTGCAGTGAGACTGCAGACAAACATGGCGAGTGCCGGCTCTGCTTCATACTGACAGTCTTCATAAGATCATAACAGATTACAATCATTATCTGAGGAGCCAAATCCCTCCTGGCTTTCCACACAACAATGGTTATGTAAGGGGGGGCTATATATGTATAACAGTGCCATTTTGATTAACTGTAAAATCTATGTATTGATCAGGGACATTTTTACATTGAAATCGATAGTGGTTTAATACTAAAAGATCATTCTCTTGATCTCAGATGACAAATACACTTCTCAACAATTATGTAATACAAATAAGGTTTTAATTGATTGCATTAGAAAAGACGATGGAAAGAACCCGGAGATGTAACTGAATAACCCAAGAGCTCTTAACTAATCGCCTGCCTGCCTGCCTGCCTGCCTGCCACACACACACACACACACACACACACACACACACACACACACACACACACACACACACACACACACACACACACACACACACACACACACACACACACACACACACACACACACACACACACACACACACACACACACACACACACACACACACACGACTCACTCCATGTCCAAAGTCCATTGCTTGAAATGACCGTTGGACAGGGAGGGCCCTGTCTAATGTACATTTCATGCATTACGTTTGTAACTCAGGGCAGGGAAGAATTTGCCATCAATGTCAGTGCGGGGCTGCAATCACATGGAAAATAGTACAGATGTTACTGACTCTAGATCTTTACACTATTCATTTTTAGGTCTATAAAATGTCAGTAAAAATAAATGCCCATCACATTTTCCTTCAAAAAGCTTCATTTGTCCGACCAACATAACAATATCTCCCACATATTCTGTTGAATGTTAAAAATATATATATAGCAAAATACCCCCCAGGCCTTATACACATTTCCAAATTGTAGAAAAGGCTTGAGGTTATCCTGTAAGTCGTGTTCAATAGAAGTGACTTGATTGTTTTTTTAGTATGATAGATAAACAACCTAGAAACACAAAACACGGTCTAGTGAATTCCAGAAATGCGCATCAAGTGAAAACTGGTTTTGGTTCTTCAGTAAAGAACATTAAAATGAAGTGCTATCTTTAACAGACATTCACTCCAACAGTAACCACAGTCAATACAGTGTTTATTTTTATTGTAGTGAGTTTGTGCAGCTTTTCAAGCATTACGTGGCTGAATTTAAATCCTCTTAGGACAGATGCCCGACGCTAGATGGATGAGGGCATTGCCAGTGTCTCTGGCCTCTGCTGATAGCTATCGCTAGAGGAATTATGCTGGAGGGGGGTTCAGTGGGCTAGCCAGAGAGCCACGTTAACACAATTAGGCTAGCACAATACCTCGACAAACCCATACACAACATGCCATGTGCATGCCTGAGCCACACCAGGAAACCCAGTGACAAAACAGGACCAGCCACACAAAGAGGCAGGGCTTATTCAAAGTGGAGAGTTAAAATATGTGGTGTCACAAAGGGAGAGAAGTGAGAAGCTGTGATCTCTGATGGAGGGTGAGTTAAATGTAATGAAACATATATTTAAAATAATAAGTTTACAGCTTTTGAACATGCCATTTTAAAAAAAAGTAATAAACAATAACTATCCCACTGATTGTTATCAAAGATGAAATGCTGTATCACAGTCACATGAGTGATTCAATCTGTGGTAGTCGTTTTGCAACCGGTAGAGAGAAACCAGCTGATTTTCTTATCAGACCTCAAAGCACTAATGACAACTTTGAAAGTCCTGTTATGAAATCACACTGTTGGATAAATCCCCACTGAGACTCTGCCTATATCTGCCAGCCGATGCAGTCGTCTGGCTAGAGTTTGTCATTGTGACGCGCTGTGTCAGTGCGGCTCTGCTCTGTCAAACCAGCAGACACCTCGCCTGGTGACAGATGGCGGCCCTTTAGGAAGGTTAGCATAATGTGGTACCTTTGCCCAATTTAATAACCCTAAAAATGTGCAGCTGTCATAAGCTTATGTCCATACAACATATTTACAAGTTTTCCATTACAACACTTACATTTCATACATTAGTAGAACACTTTTTTGTTGAACCATTATAAGGTGACATGTTACACTAATGCTCTAATAAAAGGTGTCTAATTTATACCTAGCTTAGAGTTTGACATTAATGATGTATGTATGTAAGCAGTTGCCAATTAAAGAGGCGTTCTTAAACATACTGAAGCTTGCTTTATTTCTCTTGTCTGTTCAAAGTAAACCCTCTCAACCTTGAAAAACGAAACTATTCCAAACAGAACCGAAGTGAAGCTGCAAAAGAAAATGTGTTATCCTGATCGTATACGTTAACCCTCTTTCACACCCAGATGGTCACACAACAAGACACATCCACTAACCTCACTTATTATAAGTCTCCTCAGATTGTTCTTAAATTAAATAACCCTCGACTTTAAAAAATCCCTCACTGTGAAACTCAAGGTTTCAAGGTTTTTTATTTTGTCATACGAACATAGCTACAGTGTAGTTATGCCGATGAAAATCTTAGGTCACAGGCTTCTCCAACAGTGCAACACAATAAATAACAGATAAACAAAAAATATAGTGCAAGTAAATAGTAAATACAAAGAAAAATAGTTTTAAAAAATGAATAGTCAATAAGAGTCTATAATGACAAGTTATTGGAATGATATATTAGAGAATAGATAAATAATTACTAAGTAGCCAGATGATTGTTATGGATGTTGTTTCAGCTGTTCCAGGTGTTTAACAAGTAGAGCAAAAGTCATTAGCTCTGCATGGCATCATGCATGTCTTAAGTAACCTGCTGATAGGGAAGAACAGAAGAGGCCGTTTCAGTCAAAAGCTTTAACGTCATAAGACATAAGACATATTGTCATTGTAAGCGTTTTATACAAAGAAGTTTGGTAACTTTCAGGTGAGCCAGACATCAAGATAGAAACAAGGACAATCTATGCTAGGATTATTCCTTGGAGCCTTAATTCGCACAGACAGTCAGAACGGAAATGGGAAGAACTACAACAAAAAACATTTACAAAGGGTCAAGAGTAGCCTGTACATAACAAAGAATGTGTTGGGCTGTAGGCGGAGACAGTGATTTGGAAGTATTGGACATACATGTAGAAGGCCGATGCCTAGTATCAACAACACATTCACCACTATACAAAATGTATGGGCTGCAATATTTTCCCCAGATTAAACAGGGACAGTACTCTTTCTGGACTAATGACGACATAAATACGTGTGTATGTATGTGTGTATCTGTGGGTATTGTCACAGTTAATAACTGTTACATGTCTAATATGCTGTAATATGTCGGTGTAAAGCACTTTGAGCACGTGGAAAAGCTGGCTCTAATACAAATCATATGAATCATCGTTATTATTATTATATGACAACACCAAACCCAAATAGTAACCATTTACATAATATAAATCAGAAACTGGTCCCAACTTAATGTTTTGCATTGGAGCTCAAATAGTGAACTATCACTTGTGATCGAATAATATTCAGTTCAATATTTGTTTGGTCAGGTTACTCATTGTGGAAAGTAACTGTACACTTATCAAAGTACGTACTTAAGTCACTTTGAGTACTGTTACTTGAGTATTTCCATTTATCCTACTTGTACTTCTACTCCACTACAATTCAGAAGTAAATATTGTACTTTTACTTTAGATATACCTGGATTAAATTCACAATTAGTTGAAATTAGTTTCGCCTTAACCAGCTTGATAAACAAATCAATACATCGATCATTATAATCAAAGCATATAATAACATAATAACTACTCCTATTTTTTGTACTTTTAGTATATTTAGATACCAATACCTTTGTACTTTAGCATTTTGAATACAGGACTTGTACTTGTAAAGAGTATTCTGGCTCTTTGCTAGTTCTGTTTAAGTACAACATTTGAGTACTTCTTCCACCTTTGCTTAAAATCCACCAAAATGCAAGGGAGATAACACGTGAACATCACTCTGAACACAGAAGGTGATATGACAGCTGTTTCGAGGTTATGCAAAACAGACACATGACTCCAACATAAACATGGGCCTCGTTTTCCGGTAGCACCTGCAGCGGCCGTACATCCCTCTCTGTAGGCCTCGCCACCGCAGATAAACACTGCGACAGCGCGGTCATCTGTTACATCAAACTGACACATATAAACCCCCAAGCTAGCAACACCACCACTGTATAAAACACGGGGATAACCTGTGAGTTATAAGGCTGTAGACATGGTAAACATCAAGTATCCCGGATGTTGAATCCATCAAATAAGTATTTTTTTGGACGATGACAACAGCCTGGCCATGTTTACAGTGCTGAGCTGTCAGTTTCCTTTAAAGCAAGATATTAGTTGGCCAGTACTATCTAGATGTTACATTTTCTTTTAAAAACATCCGTTTGGTTAATTCCCCGCTCCCTCTCTTGCTGGCGTTATGTGACAGCAGACGGGATGATGCTGACCGTTGCTTACCACAGCCTGCTCGCTAGCCTCAAAAACAGGGTATTTAACGACTGACAAATAAATAAATACTTTCTACAAATAAAACACACATACCGGGCAAACGTACAACCAATAGAATTTAACACACGTACCTTTAATGTGTCAAATAGAGAGTTTCAGCCGACATTAACGCTCCCTCCTCCTCCTCCTGATCTATGTGAACAACTGGGTCGAGAACGAGAACTGCTGCTGACGTCACCACCACACGGTGTTATCACGTGGTGTGTGGGAATCTCCGCGTATTATAAAATGACAAGTTAGCTTCTCTCTGAATGACGCAGTGTTTTTCTGTGAGTGAGCAAAAAAAGGTTGTGCAGTCAAGGGTCTGTCTTGGGTTTACTAGCTAAATACTGCAACCAAGAGATCTAGATGTAACTGGAGGCAGGTGGGAGAAGTGCTCAGATCTTGTACCTATATTCAAAATGTTACAGTTCTTTGGCATCAACATAGGCTACTTAGAGTACCAAAAGTAAAGTACTCTTTATGCAGATTGGCCCAATCCAGAATAATATATGATATCTTTTGATTATAGTTATTTATGTATTAAAGTGTTATCAAAGCTGGTAAAGGTGCAGCAAGTTTGAATTACTTTGTATACTGCAGGGTAGCTTGTGAATGTTACTCCAGGTTTATCTAAGTGTTGATTATATTTCACATCATTAATCCAAATCTACATCAACTTTTGTACCTCAACTTCCCTGCAATTTTAAAGGAAATATTGAATCAACTACAATTAACTGACAGCCTACTCTATACTTTGCAGATTCAGATTATAATATAATAAATACATTATTGATGGTGTTTTATAGATTCTACAACGAGGAAGTATATATTTTTGTTTAAATTAGCCCATACCTGCTTTCAACCTTAGCACACATTTTTGTATATAATATTTTTATTCAAGTTTTAATCAGTTTTTTCAATCAAGTACCTGGAGGTCCTGTTGCGTATTGTGTGTGTTTTGGCTTGACGTGATATCATGTGTTTTGTTCAATATGTCAGGTGAAATCAAGATCATTTCCAACTCTGTTTATTATTAAACTTTATGCTGGTCTGCTGCCACAGTCACCCAAGTCTGTTTAAAATTATAAACACAAATATTTTTACTTTCTGTACACAATATGAACAAGTATTGCTTCTGAATTCACATAAAAAATACTATTTTATATTATCAATTTAAATATCTATTTGCAAACTGTACAGATATTCTGTTTTCGGCTAAAAGCAAATTGCCTAATGTGCATAAACCATTAAGGCTAAATCATGGCTTGTTTGACCCTTTTAGTGGGCCACTTCATGGGTAAGAAGTACAGTATGTCTGAGGCCATGTTGACCCTGTGTTTGCGAATGAGTTAAAAACCAATATATTTAGGAACATTTAACATGTCAATATTGACACACATTCTCTAACACATAGACAAGTAAACATTTCAACTGATAATGTGCTATAAAAGGTGCATATTACCAAAGAAATGTGTAGATGACTCCAAACTGAGTCACCTTAAAAGCTGAAGGTCTTGGGTTTGTCTGGTTAGTAATCCAACCTTGTGAGAGATGATACAGAGCGAAACATGTTGGCCTTACATAAACAAATGTTCCTGAAATGCTGGTTCAATTTGATAAACGTAATATGAATTTTACATATTTCATGGATCATGAAACACACACATCTCCAAAGAATACCATCTACATATTATACAATCAGTGTAACAGTCATCACAGTTTCGTTTTACAAGCCTTGTTTTAGTTTGCCTCGTTGCTAACATTCTATTGCAGGGCAAACTTTGTTGTGTGTTCAAACATGTGACACATATGTGACCGCTGACATGACAGCAGCTACTGGTTGTACGGGCGGCTTCGTAGCAGATTGTCCAGATCAGTCTTGTTGATCGTGCCATAGGCCTGGCAATAGCTGCCCAGTTTGGCTCGAGGGTCGCCTGCTGCGGCCACATTACAGTTACTCTGATACACTTTCTTGCTGAAGCGTGTTGGGGGCCGAGCCTCACGAACCGGAGGGTTGGAGCGCTGGTTCTGCAAGGGAAGAAAAAGAAAGTTAGACACACCTCGTTTGGCCACTCCATCTTCATATTAGTAAATTATAGAAAAAGACAATTTCCTGACTTTTCAAATGCGTCATGGGCAAAGGTGAAAAAGTGAGTGAATTCTTTAAATAAGGAGTGATAAGATTGACTTAATCATGTAAATGAGCCGTGACAAAGGGTGAAAACAATGTAAGCAATGAGGTAAGTCATAAAAGAAGTGGACAAATAAGAAAAATACAACTATTTTCATATGTTCTACCTCTAAATCAATATTTCATCATGTATAATAACCTTAAATTGCATTGTGGCATTGAGTCATATTTTAAAAGTCCTGAGGAGTGGTGGACTGACCAGGCGGGCAGATGTGACGTACAGCCCAGAGGGCAGGGAGGGCTCTTCCTTGCGAACCAGCGGGTGGTTCTGGGTTTGGTTTAAGGTCGAGGAGAAGGAGCTGGTGTGGGCCACAGGGGCGGAGCGACCACGCTGGAGAATCTGATCCATGGACTTGTGAGGGTAGTGATAAGAGAGAGCAGCATACAAAATGAGACACAGAACTAATGCGAGTAGGAAACAGTGCAAGAAGATGAAAAAAGAAAGTAAAAACAAAACAAGATCACATCACAGGCAGCAAAGGAAAACAAAACTGAACATTGAGTGAGCTGAGGTCTGTTGATTACTTCATCAGTGTTGCTGCCCTCTGTTGGTGATGTTGTTGCACTTCCATTACTGGTCGGTCCCACGTGTTTCCTGCCTGCTGCAGTGGAGAAGCCGTGATGAGGAGGACCAGCCGGACTCCGGACAAAAGCATCTGAATAAAACAAAGAGGAAGCTGTGTTTTCTATCTGAAGGTATGTATTAATAGTGTGTGTTTGAGACCCAAATACCAAAAACAACATTCTTTTTATATGTTATGTTAACCCCAACCCCAGCTCCCTTAAGTACACAGGGGACATGGAGGTGACATTATTCAGGTCTTTACGCTTGTTCACAGAATATATAATACCACACCGAGCCTGTAATCCACTTTTGGAATAATGGGTTTAAGGACAACTTAGAGATGTCTCCAAAAGAGAACAAATCATTTTATACTTTGGGTTTTAAAAGTGTAGGAGGATATAGAGCAGGATCTTTTGAATAATTATAAAGCTGCATTGTGAACTTGTGAAACAATTGTTACTTTAAACAAGCATACAAAACATTTAATCAAATTACAAATCTTCCCAGTATTTAATACCCTGTGCTATGAACATATTGTATAATAATAATAGTAATAATTCATGGGATTTGTATAGCGCTTTTCCCAATACTCAGAGACACTTTACATACAATTAAAAGTAACAAAGTACTGAGGTTCAATCCCCAGCCCTGTTTGGAGAACAAGTAATTCAGACATACTTGGGGCATGTGTGATGGGGTTGTAGGTGAGTTTTCCCAAACCGTCGGGACTCGATAAGGGACTCCTCTTCTCCACAGCAGGCGGGGTTGACACGGGCGCAGGTTCAGGGACGGCTGTTTGTAAAGGCTCTGGGTTTGACTCTTCAGTCTTTACGTGTTGTGTTTCCCCCTTATGGTCATTGTCCCCACTCACTTTGACTAGTCCCTTCTCTACTTTCTCCTTCACATTGGGCTTCTCAACGCTTCTGACAGAGCGTCCGTCCTTTGGTTGGATTAGCCTCAGCATCCCCTGATTAGTTCTCCTCTCCAGCATCATCTGCAGGTAGAGAGGAGGATCATTGGGTTTAATCACTGTGATCAGACCAAAGGTCAAAATGATTTTTTTGCAATACACTTCTTTTTGCAATATGGCCTACTGTGTAAAGATTACATTGTTGTTGTTTCCTTCTGAACCTTTCAAACTCATTTTGTACCTCATAAAGTGTGTTGCGGTACTGAACCACAGATAGTTGTACATCATCATCCACTGGAAGCACGACATCGTAGTTAAGGGCGGGCTCCTTGGCTGGATTGTGAAACCTCCAGAGATAGAAATGATAGTAAGTGAAAGCACCAAATGGTAATATGCTCCTATTATTTAAATACTTATTTCAATTTAGCACGGGCAGAAAAACAAACTATCGATTTTACTATCGAAAACACATATCTCTCAATCATTTTGCTGTAAGGAAAACCACAGTTACTTATCCATCAATGAATTGGAATTCTTGATCTTTAATACCTGGCTACATATGGGTGTTGCAGGGCTTGCTCAGCGGTCAGTCGCTTGTCTGGGTTGAAAACGAGCAAACCTCTCAACAGGTCCAGAGCATCTGGAGGCACAGAAGGCTGGAGAAGATCCTCCAAAGGCACCTGTGGTCTGGGGAAGGAAGGAAGAGCCATATTTAAACCTTTTTTTTGGATGTTTAGCATTGTGTACTATTATTTTAAAAAAAGATTACAAATAATGAGATGTCTCAGAAGGAGAAACATTGTCTTTTGTATTCCATGCATCCATCTTATCAAAACCATACTGTACACTTAATGCAATGAAATCTCACAAACCTTGTTCATAAATGTTGTTAAGAAAGCACCAGGACGAAGAAACTCAGTTGAGAGGAGAATTTTGAGGTGTCAATATTTAACTAAGAAGAGTAAAAGATGGATACATAAGAATACTGCTACTTTTAAAATATAGCAAAGCTTTGGAGATTATTCAAGCAAACAATCTGACTCTCCCTGTTCTTCTCATTTCTCTGCAACAAACAAGGTGGTGTTTCACAGCTGTCATTGCTTAGTTTATGATGCTGCTTTGTCACTGTTGCGTCATTGCACCTCTGCAATAATCGAAGCTGCTGCTCTCAGAGCGTGTTATCAGCCCCCCTCCCCCGCTCTTGAAAGCCCTGATAATAATCTTCAAAGTGGAAGGAAGGAAATGTGTTAGTGTTACTAACAAAACTAGCTCTATACCAGGAGTTACAAGTTGAGAAAAGACTAGGCAGGATTATTAAATCACAAAATAATACAAAACGTTTTCTTACTTTAGTAACATTCTCTGAATCACTGAGGATCCATATTCAGACTTGATTGCTAGAATATCTGAAAAGGAAATTGCATTTAATGAATTCATAGTGAAGATTGCAGTCCTTTACTGAAAGTGCAGTGTGGGTGTTTTGAATCACCTTCTGGGCTGGGGTGGGGTATGGTGGTCATGATCTTCTCTATCTGGTTGATGGTGGACGTCCCAGGGAACAGCGCTTCCCCCAGCAGCATTTCTCCCAGGATACAGCCGAGGCTCCACATGTCCACACCTTTAGTGTACCTTTGGACAAGATGTACTTCTCAAAGTCTGGTACACTCATAACTACACACACACAGTTCAGTCATTGGAATTCACTTGGTTTAGAGGTACATTTTTCCCCCAGATCAAAATACATTTATTTCTTTTTACCTGTAGCACTATTAATCCATTTAAAATGAGTATTTGAGTGAGTTGCCGAATGTCTGAGTTATCAGTCATAGAAATTACAACCCCAAGGTGCATCACCTCGCAGAAGTAATGTGTGCATCTACACTTGGGTGAGAGGCTTGGATAAGAGTGAGATCATTCTTTGATATGTAGAAAGAAAAGTAGTTCCTATATTAAACTGTTTGTTGATTATCTTAAGTAAAGGGGTCACACCATGAACTATGTTTGGAATGTAGAGCAGTGTAGTGCTCTGTAGATATTTGAAAGGCAGATATCTTAATTTCTGATATTGCCAACATAAACAAAACTAACAACAAAACCATTAAGATGATAAAAAGCACTACAGGTGAGAGGAAATTATGTATTTTTTTATTTTGGGTCAACTGTCCTTTAAAACCACTGCTGTGAAGAACAAGCAGACCCAAGCAGATACTGAACCCCAAATCCCAATGCTCGACTCATGGCATGGCCAACAGTGTGTGTAAGTGTGTGTTCATCTCTCCTGCAGAGCAGGTGGCCCCTTGTATAAAAGCCTCTGTATGAATGTGTGTGAATGCTGACATGTGTTGGAATAAGCGCCTAAAGTGGTCGACACATCACTCATCACAGTTGATACCTTGTGGACCCCAGCAGGATCTCAGGAGCTCGGTACCACCGCGTCGCCACGTACTCCGTCAGCGCTGGATTCCCACTGTCCTCTTGGATCTGATTGAGCGATCTGGCCAAGCCGAAATCACACAGCTTGACTACACAGTCGGTGTCCAGCAACACGTTGGATGGCTGTGGGAAACACAGACAAGAGAAACATTCTTCACAGGGACAATAATAGTTCAGTTTTCACGTATTTACAGAGAGGTTAATTCAAGCAGCTTGACCATGATATGAAAACAGTGAAAAGAGATGCAACAACAGACAACTGGCAGAAAGAAGGAAGGAAATTCTAGTCAGTTCGAAACAGAGGATATTATAGTGTCAGCTGATTTTCCGCAGACTAGCAAGTCTTACAGAATGTGTTAACATAAACAGTATTTTGGACTTAAGTAATGGCTTGGATTTGCATAGGAGTTGAGAAAATGCCAAACAGTTATTGATTCCTACCCCTCCCCTTTTTCTACTGGGTTGAACATAAAAAGGAATTTGAAGAAGTCAAATAAAAGAAGACCTCAAACCAGAAATGTATGAAAGTGACTACAGGCCAAAAAATAGTTTGTATATTTTCTTATCTAGATTAATTTAATTCACTAAAGAATTTGCATTAGATAATGCCTCATTTGCATTTTAAACATACATTTTCAGAACACTTGTGATATAACAAATAATTGTATTAATGTAACCTGTAAGTAATCAACTGTAATGTCTCCCTTCATGAAAAAGTAATCAACTACCACAAAAGAAGATAAAGGAAAATGCATTCGGGCCTGTTGCTTAATATTCTCCACCTGCCTACTGTACCTTATGGTCCCTGTGGATAACATTTCCTGAGTGTAGGTATTTGATGGCTTTGAAGAGCTGGTACATCACATAACGTTTGTGGATGTCCTTCAGAAGGGTGCCTTTCTTTATCACTGCATGCAGGTCGGTATCTGTTACAAGCAGGAAAAAAAATTGATTATAACAATATGACTGTTATAGTAACACAAATGGATGAATTGTGAATCCAGGCTTCTCCGAATTAAAATACACAATCATTTTAGCAAAGTATTGTAATTTAAGTGCCAGGGAGAAACAGTGGAGGTCTGTGCTGAATGCTGCTGTATTCATGGTTTATACTGCAGAGAAGGGCGAGGCCAGTGTGTGGACTCAGCAGTAAGACAGTGCAGCCAGCCAAACACACACACACACACGCACGTACGCACGCACGCACGCGCGCGCACGCATGCACGCACACACGCACGCACACACACACACACACACACACACAAACACACACACACACACACACACACACATACACACACCTTTTCAGGGCCAAGTTAAACTAATAAGCGCTTCTGTAATCTTTACTGTTCCCTTATTGCGTCAAAGCATCAGACGATTCTTTCTTGAAGTGTACAAAACTTCCCAAACACTCACCCATATACTCAAAGATAAGATAAATGTCTTTATCATTTTGAGCTCTGACGACATTTAGAAGTTGGACGATGTTGGGATGATCGCCAAACTCCTGTAACAGAAAGGGGCGATGTAGTAACAGAAGCAACAGTTTCAGACTAATAATGATGACTGGCGCTTTTTGTGTAAAGGTTGTGAAAACAACAAGTTACATAATGGTCACTATAAAACCCATTACAACAACACTGGAATTTTACTGAAACTTAACAACAGCTGATTAAGGGGCCAGAAACACAGCTGAAGGTCACATGGATGTAGGTCAGCAAATAAATACTCAAGGATATGTTACATAAGGAAATCAAAGTAAAAGGTAGAAATCAATATTTGTGTTAATATTCCTAGATTTTGATTTGAATTTCTAAACACAATCATGTATTGTCACTATAATCTGTTTAATATCTGTGAATGGCGGTGAATCATTGTGTATAAATGGAGATGAGCATTTACACAACAAGGTGCTGAATGTATATCATTGTCTGGCTCAATAAAATGATAATATTAAGATATTTTATGATCTTAGGAAATGTTAAAAGAAATAAAGATATACACGTAAGTGATAAGGGAACATTGTCGCTGGTCATTGCCATTGACCTTGAGGATATTAAGAAAACTGAAGTCTCTGCTGCTGTTTGGTTTTTACCCCAGTGTGTCCCCAGCAGTGTCATTGCTCAATGGTTTGCACACAGTAAACTAAACAGCTGCAAATTCAGTTCAGAAACCTTTCCAGTATGTTCCTGCCTATAAAGCAATCAGCTGTGACGTAACATTAATGGAAAAATAAACAGTGCTGTGCTGATTAAGAAAGGCATGGTACAACTACTGTAGCAGTATCAGCATACATACCTTCAATAAAAAAACTATTTACAGTAAACGTTTTTGGAGTTAAATTCAAGAGAATGATAGTATGATGATAATTGTTACCTGGAGGAACATGATTTCCCTGAATGTCCGCTGCAAAAGAAAAGAAAAGTACAATTAGGATGTGAACTTTAAAAGGACACACAAGCCTCCTGCTCTATTTAATCATTAGCCAATCTTATCTTTCTATTAAAAAGGTCATCAAGCACTCACCTGGGCATCCGTCCTGTTCCTGAAGGCGTCAAAGATCTTCTTCACGGCCACGATCTCGCCTGTTTGTCTGTCAACAGCTTTCCATACAATGCCATAAGCCTGAGAGAGACACAACATGGTAACATCAGATCGCCATGCATGAGGAGGATGATATTCTGTCACACATTAATATTGTTTTCAACTGCATAAGTAAAGGAAACATATTAAAAGTGGTTCAAAAGTCATTATTGCACCACTTTTAATATGTGGCTTGTGTAAATGTGTAACTTTTAATTATAAAACATGTCAAATGCACATCTGATCACAAAAATGTGAGGACATGACCTCTGTGCCCTCAATAGTAGCAATGACGAAAAATCCATTGTGAAAGGAGAGTTAGGGTGCGGATAAAGGCGATGAAGTGAAGCATAACAGAGGCAGCAGTGATGCAGGTCACTCTTATTGTAACTAAACTAAATATACGTGAAACTAGTTCACTTGTATTTTATATTAGTTTTGTTGTTCTTGCACTATTTTTTATTATTTTATTGTTTTATGCCTCTCAGGTCTTCTGGGACGGGTCAGAACTAAACATGGAGAAGCACTTAAGATATTCATAGCCATGACTACACTGGAGCTGCTGTGCATATGAAAATAAAACCTTTGGATCTTGAAGCCAAACAGTGCTTCTAATTATAGGTACCTGAAGCACAACATGAAAGGATGCCAGTATCAAAGCAGACAAGGTTAAACAGCATGAGTCACCTCCGCCTTCAGGACAGGTGTGTGCAGTTAGCCAATAACACTTGTGTACGTGTCAGTCACCACCTGGTCATTGTACACAGCAGAGCAGCAATTTGTGAGTCTCTGTGGACAGTTTATGGAAAGAAACCAAGCTACGAATAGTCCTGTGGCAAGAAGGAAAACAGAGACGGGTTGCACTCTGAAGGGAATAAGTGTCCTCACACAACAGCTGATCTGCAAAGAAAGACTTTATCGTAAATAAACCTTTCATTGCAACATCATGGAGAGATTTAAGTCTGAATAATTTCAGGAATGTGTCTTAAACGGGGTTTAAAAATGTGGTAAACATTAATGTACAGGTGCCCAGCAGGTTGTTGTGAACAGGTTGTTGGTATAATCAGCATTGAAAGCGTTTGGCAACTCATAAAACCTTTTTGCAATAAGGAGTTGTGTATTACATTTACGAAAGTACTGCACTTTGTACTTCTACTCCATTACAGTTCAGAGGCAAATCCTGTACTTTTACTCTACAACACTTATGTAATACCTTTAGTTACTTACTTTGATGTTTAATATACAACACTTATAAGACTTTAGTTACACCTGGTAACATTCACTGGATACCCTACAAAATAAATACATTTAGCTGCACCTATAGCAGCTTTGATAAACACATTAATGCATCAATAATTATAATCAACACATATCCTATATTGTTCTGAAGGGGGACAGTTTGCATAATGACTACTTTTACTTATAGTACTTTAAGTATATTTTGATGCTAATACTTTTACAGTAACATGTTGTACTTTGTTTTAACTTATGTGCAATATCTGAGTACTTCTTCCACCTCTGGCCAGGGGTAAATAAATACACGTTTCCATTTTGAATCTAGTAAATGAAGAGGCAGAAAGTCACTCACCCCTTTTCCAAGTCTCTTCTTGATTTCATACTTGAGAGAAATGTGGTCCTCCACCTCAGAAACGTTTGTTGATTGATATTTTTTGCTCATTTTTTAACAATCCTCTTGCTCATGCAGAAAGCATTTCCACACTCTTTGATTATTCCTGAAAAAGATCTTGAATTCTCGGAAAACAGTAGTTAACACCGTTGGCGGAAGTGAATGAATGGTAAAGCGAGTTACTTCAGAGACTTGTGTTGATTTCCATAAAAAAAAAAAAACGTTTTTCTGCAGGCTAGTTCTGTATTTTATCCAGCAGCGACATGATAATCCACAAAGTGCTGTCAGACATCGCGTCGCTTACTGTTTAACTATCACCGTCGGTCGAGAAGCAGCAGGTTAGTTTTTAACTCAATTAAGTGACTGATACATATAATTTGTACTGTACAAAATGTGTTGTTATTTGTGAAGGTGATATTTAATTATCTCCGCAAGTTTTGATACTCCCCTCCTCTGCTAATGCAAACTGACTAAAACGTACACGTTTGTCTCTACTTGTCGTCCTGGTAACGCTGCTGTCTGGTTTCTTAAAGGAGCCGCAGCATAAAATGCTACCCAGACACAGGGGCCAAAAGTGTCACGTCCTTATCCAAAAACTGTCAGTCACTTCAAGAGAAATTAACACAAATACATAAAACCACTACAAAGCGAAACAAACTAACTTCAGAGAGATACAACTTTACTCAAAAAAGATGTCAACACAAAGTGTGTTACACAATCACAAAGAGCAAAGAAATGACCACGAACAGACCACAAAAAAACCCAACAAGACTACAACGACACGCAAAGCAACTGCAAAATGACATAAAATACCTAAGAAGGGCTAAAAAAAAAAAACTTACAGAGGTATACCAATAACAAAAAGAGACATACAAGATGTATCGGAAAAATTGACGACCAGCCACATTGATAAATAATTAGCTCAAAGAAACACAAAATGAGCTCAAACGCTCAAAGAGGCAAAGCAACCACAAATAATCCAAAATAGACACACAGCAACTACGAAGAGACAAAGAAAGGCCACAATAGAGCTATCCACAGAAAGATCTGTAACATACACCATAAAAAAAGGCTTGTTTGTCTTTGCTTTATTGTATAAGAGGTGTTAGGGGCCGGCCATGGGACATCTGGTGTGATCAAGGAGATTAGTACTATACAAAATGGGTGAGGCAATGGGATTATAGAAAGACCGTAGTTATGTTTGTACACTTTTGCATCATGCAAAGTGTTTTGCAAACTTGTTTTCAAGTTAATAGCACTGCCTGGTATCTGTTTGACTGCTTTTCCAGTTTCGACTTTAGCTCACTGGGACCTGTCCTCACAAGTAATGAACAATAAGGTGCTTCAACTATGTCCATGGTCAACAATGGATAACCCATAATACAATGTGACTTCAGAGAGAAACAGTAGTTGAAGTAAATGATTAACCTTGAAATAAAAACTGATAAACATGCAAAAAGGCAATTAAAACAGTAAAGATTAGACCTTTGCCATTTCATCTTTTCATGGGAGACTTCGACTTTATGAAATCCTGACTTTCGAACTGTTGCTAATAAAAGCTGCTACTGAGTTGAATTATGGGAAATGTAGGAGTCATTCTTTCTGGGGTTAAATCAGGTCATCTCAACCACTGCTGTATCAATTTTAACTTTGTTTCTTACATGGTTCGGCAAGTTCCTCAAATAAGCTGCTGGAGTACCCTCTTAGGAGGAACAAAATGGAAATGGTAAAGGTTACCATTTATATATGGCCTTTCTAAATGTATTAAAGACTCAAAGCACTTTACAACCAAAGCCAAGACATACATTGACACAGAAAAAAAAAATCACACACAATCACTAGTGGCTTAGTGATCGGGAGCAATTTGGGGTTCAGAATCTTGACCTAGGAAATTGCAGGGTCCATGTTTCAAACCGCCAACATTAAAGCAACCGGTCCAGAGCCACAGCTGCCCAGTATAATCAAAATAACATCTCGTTGAATAAGCCGTACAGCAAGTACTATTTAGTCCCTTCACATTTCTTAATATCCTGACGCCTGCCCTCTTGGAACATTTCTTAAGATGTCACATAAGATGTTAAATATTTTACACAGTCTAAAGACAAAACTTTGAACAAATCACACAACAAAGATGGAGGTAGATTTTTCATTTTTATTTCTAAAAAGGTGTTACATGCTCTTATTTAAAATCAAAACTATTATTTACAATGATAATTCTTAATAAATATGTTTTCCCTAATGATGTTTGAGGGTTGAAACATATTTCGCAAGCAAAATGAAGAGGGGGTGTGTCCACCTCGCTTTACCTACTTCATGTGGCCAGCCCTCACTTGTAAAGGAAATATGGATTAGGTTTGTTAACAGAAAAAAGGGCTAGAAAATGTACACAAACAACTTCTTCCATCAACATTTCAATATAAGTATTAATCTGAAGTGCAGTTTAACATTAAAGTCCATAAATTATTAAAGCTGCATTCCTTTTCTATTAACTGAGAGACTAAGTATGTCAGCTTCAGAACCTGCAGGTCCTGCATTAAAATTGATAGAAAAACAAAATGTAATACAGAACAGAAAATGCTAATCCGACCCTAAGTGGCCGGCAGTGGATAGAATTAAGGTACCAAAAAGAAACGAATATATATTTATCTTTCCAATGAGAAAGGCTTTGGCTGTTGCAGCCTTTTCTTAATCTGCAGACTTTGCCCGTAATAATTGTATCATGCTTCTTTGTTGGTGCTCTGCAAAAGTATAAAATTAGACCTTTTTGATATTACAGTACAAAGTTAGAAGTAAACTGTTTTGTCCAGAGCAGAATTTACAGCCAATGTTAAAGGTTTTTTCACACAAGTTTGGGTAGAAAAGAGGCCAATGGAGTGTCTCACAGCACAGATTAAACCTGGGGGGCAAGGCTGCAGGCATCATGATGTCCCAGACACTGAAGTACACGAGGCGAGGAGTTTGAATAGTACACAATATGAATAAAAAGGACATACGAAAAGAAATGGGCTGATGTGAGACAGATCTAGACCCCGTCCAGATCTGAACCTGCCCCATCAATAGCCAGAAGGAGAAGGAAGAGTGTTTTTTTTTAACTTAATAGATATTAGAGTCAGAATTTCAGACAGGTGGATCGATGATGGGCCGAGGCTTTAGGAGGAGTGGAGGAAGCGGTTGAAGGCATTGTAAGCCGACTCCAGATCAAACAGCATCTGGCGCACCTGATTATCATCCAACTCGTCTGAGGCCGACATGCTGCTGAGGGTGGCCAGCCTGAGGAGAAAACACAACAACCGTTTGTTAAGACTTATCACAGACTGGCCTACGTTTAGCACTACTGGTTTAACTTATACAAGCAGTCAAGGAAATTGTCCACTTGTTGATATCCATTAAATAAGTTTTATAACTAGGTTTAAGAAAAGAATCTCCCTTTGCATAAATATATTAAAGCACGTCTTGACTTGTTCACTACCTCTTTGACAAAAAGCCCAAAAAACCAAAACGGATTTACATAGTAAATATGCAGTTACTATTGGGATTTACTAAGTGTCTGTTTAGGTATCAACCCCAAAGACGCTTCAACTAAATAAACATTACATTTCGCATAACCTACTCATAAGGAGACCAAATAATAGAATACATGTCAAGACTCACCAGAGGCTGACTTTGTCCTTAGCCTCTGAGTCTGGAGGCATGTTGCTCATTCTGTTCATGGTTTCCATCAGCTCCCTAAGGTCTGGCTGGATCTGGACCAATAGAAAATAATCAGTATCACAGTAGTTTCTAAAAGGTTTATTACACTTTTATACTTTTTTGTTGTATTTACCTCATCCATGGCCCTGATCTCCAGTCTGAGCTTGTCCATCACAGTGATGAAGAGCTGAAAGAGAAGGTGACGAACAATGAGACTTGCACATTCATCAACAAGAAAACAGAGCACATTCTTTGCTAAAAATCCAACCGTCTATCAGCCAATTATATTGGTAGATAAAAGCTGGCCGTTGATACGACTGGATGAGCCAAATTAAGTGTAACCACTTCAACCACTGAGTGCTTGAGCTGAAAACACTAAATAATTTCATAAACAAACATTTTTTATCATGGCACACTTCCAAAATAAGCCTCCTGTTGGAGTTTAATATGACGGAGAGCAGAGAGGACGTACAGAAACTATATCTGCAATGCAGCGGTTCAGGTTGCCCTTGTCATCCTTGATGGTGATTGGCCGGTCCTCCTTAATCCTTTCCATGGCTAGTGGGCAGTCGAGCTATGAAAGAAAATAAAAAAGTTACATTTTGACGAAGAAAAATATAGGAAAACTATAAATCATAGAGTAGTAGTATATACCTATATATACGTCTATAGTAGTATATACCATTATACTATATACGGGTAATATATATAGAGCTACGTGATGAGTAGTACTAGTCTTATATATATGAACTGCAATTGTCAAGCCGCGTTCTAATTGCCATTGGAACAATGTTCACACTCGTCCTAATTATGTCTTGCATCAATT